TTATATTTTAGATTTTTTATATTTAAAATAAGATGTTTATCTTGTATTTGATTGTGTTTATCTGCAGTTAGTTACACGGATTCAGTTATGGGATGAAATCGGATAGGGATGAACGGGTTTAAGAGTTTTAAGAGTTTAAGAGTTTTTAAGAGTTTTAGCCAAATGCATTATAATATAGTATAGATTAATTTAGTACCTATCATTGGTTTCCATTGCGGGGAAATCGACATGGTGCAAGCCCAGAATAGTGACAGTAGTAATCCACTCGATCCGATTGCCGCTCAATTGGCTGCCATAGCCGCGAAATTGGAGTCAATTGAAAYGATGAAGGAAGATATAGCAGCTCTGAAGAAAGGAGAACGATCAAGAGGAGGCAAGAATGACGAGGGGGAAAATTCTTGGAGGGGTCAACAGCCATATTGACCCTATAACAATATTGATTTCCCGATTCTTAGCAGCTGAGACCCTCGCGTGGCTGCTGAAAGCCGAAAAATATTTCAGGTATTATCAAATACCGGATGAAGAGAAGGTTGAGATAGTTTCAATGCACTTAGAAGGGGATGCCTTGGACCTCTATTCATGGCTCTCTGGCGATCATCCAATCACTTTTTGGGAAGAATTAGTCCAAGCGTTTACCAAAAACTTTGGCCTTGCAAAGTTTCAAAACCCGGATGAGTTCCTTTCTAGCATTAAACAAACTGGTTCGATACAAGAATATCGGCGGCAGGAGTTCGTTAAGAGACCCTCTCGGGTTTCAAATTGGCCCGATCATTGCCTTTTAGGGGTAATCCTAAACGGCCTCAAAGATGAATTAAAATCCGATGTACGAATTCACAAGCTCCGTACGTATATAGTGCCATGAGTTTGGCTCTGGAGTTTGAATCTAAACTCAACCCCCCCCCCACCGACCCGGAAAAAGTGCTTCTTGGACCCCAAATTCGAAACCCTTACAACCGGATCCCAAACCAACAACTTTCACCCCAGCCCAAACATCAACCCAACCAAAAAATACTTTCGAATTTCCGAAGCAGAGAAACAAAAACGATTCCTAAAAGGGGAATGCTTCAGATGTGGCGATAAATATGGATCGGGTCATCGTTGCAAAACCGGTACTTTCAAGGTTTTAGAGGCTGATGAGGATGTTGAAGAATCACCTACAACAGATCTAACCGGCCTCAATTCTGACCAGGAAGAAACTACTGAAATCAGTTTACATGCTATTCTGGGAAAGTCACATCCTACCATGATGAAGGTCTATGGTATGCTTCATTCTACTGAAGTTTTAATTTTAGTTGATGGTGGTTCTACACACGATTTTATTTCAGATGTCTTGGTGAATGAACTTAAGCTGGCTCCTCAACCGATAGCGCCTTTCGGTGTTCAAATCGGTCACGGGGGATGTAATTCGATGTGGCCAAATCTGCAAAAATCTTCTTGTACAGATTAATGACCTCAAGATTTCCATCATTTTTCTCTTGGTGGAGCTGATCTAGTTTTGGGTATTCAATGTTTAGCCACATTAAATACGATTCAAGCTAATTGGAAAGAATTGTTCATGATTTTTTCAATAAATGGGAAGCCATACCAACTATAAGGCATTGAATCCGGCCCCCAAAAATCATCCAGTTTCCAACATCTAGCCATTGACCTGAAGTTACCCCGTGCATACCGGCCCCACTACAACCTATTCTCACCCAATACACCACTGTTTTTGAGGAACCTCAACATTTACCCCCGGTTAGATCACAAAAACCCATTCAATTCCACTTTTGTCAAGCTCCACCCCGCCTAACATCCGTCCTTACCGTTATCCCCACTCCCAAAAAATGAGATAGAGAAACAAGTGGAACAGTTGATGACCGTTGGCTTTATTCAACCGAGTACCAGCCCTTTCTCAAGCCCTGTATTACTAGTGAGGAAGAAGTACAATTCTTGGCGAATGTGCATCGATTATCGGGACCTTAACAAGATAACTATAGCCGATAAATACCCTATTCCCAATATTGAGGAGTTACTTGATGAACTATATGGTGCTACGGTGTTCTCAAAACTCGATTTGCGATCGGGTTATTATCAAATCAAAGTGGCAGCCCCGAATGTCAAAAAAACAGCCTTTCGCACTCACTCGGGTCATTACGAATTCAAGGTCATGCCTTTTGGTCTGACTACTGCTCCCTCCAAATTTCAGGCTATCATGAACGATCTATTTCGTCCTTACTTACGACGTTTCATACTTGTGTTCTTTGATGACATTTTAATTTACAGCCCAAGTATGGAACAGCACATGTTTCATTTGGAACAGACCCTAAAATTACTTCATGACAATCATTTTTTGCCAAATTATCGAAATGTTGTTTCGGGCAAGAACAGGTTGTGTTCCTTGGTTAGGTCGTGGCCCGTACCATCAACAGTAAAGGAAGTGAGAGGTTTCCTCGGGTTAACCGGGTATTATAGGCGCTTTGTTCGTAATTACGGTCTCATAGCCCGACCCCTCACCGCATTGACCAAGAAGGATGGGTTTAGTTGGTCGGGAGCGGCCCTTAAAGCCTTTAATGACTTGAAACAAGCTTTGCTTTCTACACCAGTTTTGAGATTACCCGATTTCTTGAAACCCTTTATTCTAGAGTGTGATGTTTCGTCGGATGGCGTGGGAGCAATATTATCACAAGAGAACCATCTTGTGGCCTATTTCAGCAAGAGGTTTTCCCCATCTAACCGATTCAAATCGGCTTACGATAGGGAGCTGCTAGCATTGGTCCGGGCGGTACAAAAATGGAGTCATCACCTGCTTGGTCGGCATTTTCTCATCCGTACGATCATTATGCCCTGAAGTTTTTATTGGAAGAGCGCATTACCACTACCAAGCAGCAAAGGTTGCTACTTAAACTCATGCCTTATGATTTTTCGATTATTCACAAGGACGGAAAAGAGAACAAGGGGGTTGATGCCTTATCTCGTCGACCCCATTCAGGAGAATTATTGACACTCATTGTCCCTTATCGTGTTGAGGTGGCTGATATCAAAGTTGGGTTGCAAACTGATCCATTTACAGGCGACCTAATCAGCAAATTGAATAAGGACCCTTCGTCCGTCACTGATTTCTCTCTTGCAAATCAGCTTTTGTTTTATCAAGGGCGTATGGTAATACCAGAGGTATCTTCCCTCAGACTTAAGTGTTACAATAAGCACATGATACCCCAATCGGTGGTCATGGGGTTTTTTTAAAAACCTATAAACGACTTTCCTCTTGATACTATTGGCTAAAGATGAAACAGGATGTGAGGATTTTTGTATAGCAATGTGTGTTATGCCAACAACAGAAATACCAAACTCTGTCTCCCGCCGATTTGCTTCGGCCCTTACCCAAAGGATATCTCCATGGACTTTATCGTTGGTTTGCCTCCATCAAGCCGTTTCAATACTTAGTCGTGGTGGATCGCCTAAGCAAATATGCTCACTTCCTTTGTTTGTCTCATCCATTCACGGCCAAAGGAGTAGCTACGGTATTTTGCAAAGAGATAATCAGATTAAGATTACATGGTTTTCCCCGCTCTATCATTTCTGATATAGACGTTGTCTTCGTTAGCAACTTTTGGCAAGAATTGTTCCGATTAAGTAAGACTAAGTTAAAATTGAGTACAAGTTACCATCCTCAAACGGACGGTCAAACCGAAGTTCTAAATCGTTGCCTAGAAGCTTACCTACGCTGCTTTGCTAGTGAACAACCAACCAAATGGGAGTACTTTCTTACCATGGGCCAAATATTCATATAATACCGGCTACCACACGTCCACCGGTACAACCCTATTTTATGTTGTTTATGGCAGGGAACCTCCTTCTTTGTTTCCTTATGTGGTGGGGGACACCAAAAATGCAGAGCTGGAACAACAATTAATTGATAGGGATGATATGTTGAAGCTTCTTCGACAAAACCTCCAAAAGGCCCAAGACCGGGTGAAAAACCAAGCAAATTTGAAGCGACCGGAACTCACGTTTCAGGTTGGTGACTATGTCTTCTTGAAGATTCAACCTTATCATCGAAAGAATCGGGCCAATCGTAGGTATGAGAAGCTATCCCCAAGGTTTTTTGGCCCATACCGTATTAAACAAACAGTTAGTCCAATTGCCTATGAGTTGGAACTACCATCCGAAGCTAAAATCCACCCGGTCTTCCATGTCTCAATGCTTAAATCTGCCCATGGATCTTTTTCTTCAGTTCCAATTGCACCATTACCCATCACCAAAGACTGGGAAATTGACTTGCAACCAAGTTCTGTCATCGCTCTGCTTATCTAACTTCTACCCAAAAGTTTTAGGCTTCATTTCACTATTGTAGTTCTATAGCTCATTTTAGATCCGACATAAGAAAATGCACCTGTTTTCCTGGGAACAGGAAACATACTGAAACCAACAATACCTCCTAATTATGCAGACATGAATAGATCCTCGACTTGAAGTAATAAGCAGATGATAACAATAAAGCATTTCAATGAAAATTAAACCACCAAATATATTCCATTGATGTCATAAGAAAGAGAATTGTCGAACCGTATCTTGCCCACAGCTGAGGTTCAGTGCCGCTGCACTCGCGGATCAGTATTGGCAACTTAGGGTTTGCTTTCTTCAGCTCCTTGTAATTCTTCTCAACAAACGCCCTGTCACCGAAAAGAAAATTGATTTCAAAAAAATAGATGTGATTAGGGCAAAGAGCAAAACGATACTAGAAATCCATGAAACCTGAGATCGATGAAGTGATTTAGTTTCAATGATACCTCGTGGAAGAACTGGCAGGTGAAGTTTGACAAAAGAGAACTCGGAGCTCTTTCAGATTCTTGGATAATTGTCCCATCCACGCCATTTTCGATATCTGGTTTAACCGGAAACTATGGTGTCGTCGCAACTGCTTTCCGATTTGTTAAACGGTGGTCTGGAGAAAGAAGGCAATCCCTACGGCCCTACCCTTCCTTGTTTGGTACAAATATTTAATTGTTAAAAAAAAAATTATAATATAAAAATCACAAAAATCCAACGAATTTTTTTATTTTAAATCATTGAATTTTGTTCGGATGAGTTGGGTTGGGTTGGGTTGACGGGTTAGTACTGACATAAATTTGACGAATGAAATACTTTATAAAACACTAGTTGTGTACCTGCGTAATACGGCGGGAGCCATGAATTTTAATGATTTTGAAGTTTCATTGGTTTTATTAGAGAATATTTAACGATGATATAAGTTACACTTGGTTTTTACATATAAATACAATTTGAATAAATAAGAGTTATGGTTCCAATTACAGTCTATCGATGAAAAAAATTATACGACATTTTAAAATCCAGTATATTTAAAATCCAACATATTTAAACGACTCCACAAATGTGTTCGATTTACACCAAAAGTAATGAATCAAGAGAGGAGATCGAGACCGAGAGTTCTTGAACAATTGAATGGGAGATAAATGAGAGAACTTTTAATATTCATGATGAATATTATTTTGAATCTCACCTTGGAGATGGGGAGAAGACATAGAGGTATGAGAGGGTGAAGACATAAGTGAAAGGTGTTAAAAGTATCTTGAGAACATGAAAAGAAAAAATAATAATGTGTATTGGTAGTAGTACTTAATGCATTATTAGTTGGTTTTAAGACTTTAAGACTTTATGCATAAATGTGTAGTACTTTGTGCATTAAAAATTGTTTTTAAGACTTTTAATAAATCTGGTTTATAAGGTAGTATAGATTAGAACTTAAGTTTATATAACCAAATTATAAGTCATCATATCTAAAAGTGTTACAATATATTTAATTGAATGTATTTGGACGTTTCAATAAGTTTTTAAAACGCTTTTTTTTATAATAAATAGTAATATTAGCTATTTTATAGAACAATTTTGAGAAATATCATATAAATTTATCTATTTATAAGACATTTGTATTCATATACATTTTTCAGTAGTGTCATATAAAACAACTAATACGACAATTTATTTTAAAAACGTCTTATAAACATATTGTAACACTTTTGAATATGAACTATTTAGTTTTGTCTTATAAACTTAAGTCCCTATAAAGTATCATATTAACATGAGGGTCAATCTCGGCCATCCACTTTATTTGATCCAACAACTCACATTAAATAGGGTTTTTAACTAAAATTATCAATTAAGGTAATTAGGAGTAAAAAAGGAAGTTAGTTTAAACATATGTTTACCTTCTTTGACTTTTTATTTTCTTTTTTAATTAAAAACTTTATCCCCTTAAAGTTTAAAATAAATTATTTTAAAAATTACTAGTATTTTAATTGATAGATTGGAATCGTTCGTGTTCACACAATGAAAAAAAAAATTCCCACAGTGGTGGTGCAAGTGCACGCCGACATTATGATCGTTTGCAGATAGTAGAGTAGTAAAGTATCAAGATCATTTTCACAGGGATTGTACTACTGAGAAACGGAGAATTTCATGAACTTCTTGAACATATTTCGGTTTGTGATTAAAAGTTGGATTTTTGTTAGTGAAAAGCTTTAAAAGATGAAATAGACTTAAAAATAAAAGATATACACATGGGTGCAAGTATTCCACAAGACAAAAATAACAATATAATGGTCAAAAAACTTATGAGATGTTTATAAAAACTCAAGTCTCTCGAAAGTGAAGTTTTATAGACAGTTCCCACAAAGTTCCCACTTCCGTCACTCCGAAGCTTGCTGATTTAACTAAAAAGTAAGTATTAAACTGAAAATCCATACTCAAATTTCTTATACATACTTAAATTTCTTTGTAATAAAAATCTCCAATATTTGAACCTTAACTATATATATACAAAATTCGTACATCTACATAATTATCAAATATTTTCTCAAATCTTTGTGTATTACTTAAGCCGTATTTCAAATCCCTCAATCTCTGGGTCAAATATTTAATATTAATACTTCAAAGTGATCGACTTATCCACGTTGAGTTTTAGTCCCGGCTTAAATGATCAAGTTTACGAAGTGGTAAAGAATGAAAACACCCAAATGTTGCTTATAAATCCTAAGCTAACTCATACCGACAGCCACATCCACATAAGTAATTAACCCATAATAGAAGAGAAGAAATAAAACTTTTATTAGAATAGAATAAAAGTTTGTCGCCACAATGGTGAAGCTGTAGACAGAAGATTACAGCTAAGAACTTAATATAAGAAAATTAAATGCTAAGACTTAAAAGCTTAAAAGTAAAAATATGGAGAGACTTCAGCTGAAAATGGGATAATTTTCAAATGAATTCAAAGCTCCTTCATATAGGGGAGGAAAAGATAAGGATGACAATTTTTTACCAATAAGAAATGAGCAATTTAATGTCTTGTGATTAAAGAGTCAACTCACCTCTTTATTTTATCCAAAACTTAGACTTCTAAGGTGGCTCTAACTGTAAACAACTATTAGAAAAGTCTTAAAGAAAATTTCTTCCAAAAAGTTGATCCTTATAAAAAAAAATTATAATCTTCCTTCTGTGGTGACAATGTGGACACAGTTTCAAAGTGATGTTTTTTAGAATAAATCTACATCATTTGTATTTCATCATCTTTTTAAAACTTTTGAAATAAACGGGGAAAAACAATAAAAATTGGGTATTTAAAATACATAAAACCGGAAGTAATAAATAAGAAACTACTCTAAAAAATGAGAGTTTTATCATTAATAAAACAAATTACATAAAAAAAAAATGAAATTTTATGATCTTCGCTATCACATCCATCTCGATGTAGTTTTTTTTTTGTTTTAACCGTTTTTTAGGTGAAATGGTACATGTGTGTTATATTCATTATGAATATTTATGTATGTTCAAGTGTGTACAATAGCTCGACACCGTAAGTCCGTAATTCGGCATCACCTACTTCAACATTTTTTCAGCGTCGTAAGACACCACATTTTTCATCACCGTAACCCAACACCCACCGAGACCGATCGAGAACCCATCGAAACCGAATGAGAAAGTTCGAGAATCCATTCATTAACTTTGGTATGTGTTTATATGTGTTAAACTATAATTTGTCACCTTCATTTTCCATCAAGAGCCTATCGATTGATTTATTATTTGTTTGTATGTGTAAAATCATAGGCTACCACTTTCAGCTTTAATCGAAACAGGATATAAATATAACATTATAATTTGCATTTATGGTTGACAGATCATATTCTACAATATTCTTTTTGGCATTTTTACAACATGAAAAATATGCATTTAAAATGTGTTAATATGTTTATGCAGTAATCCCACATAACTTGGTCGTAATAAACATGTTATTTGTGTCTTAATTCATACAAGACTATATATAATCCCCAACAATAACTGACATAAGGCTTGTATTTGACGGTTCCATAGGCAAAAAACTACATATGATATAATTGACAGTGATTTATGTAATTCAGATCAATATATGAACTTTAAACTCAATTCATGCAAGATGCTTGTAACTGCAGTTTATATAAAAGAAAATTTATAAAATAATCGTTGATTTATTGCTCAAGTTTTTAGTGATGTATATAGGCATGACAATAGGGTAGGGATAGGGCGGGTTTTGTAATTCCCGACCCTAGTTTATAATAACATCCCTCGGCCCTGGTCTCCGGTGGGTTCGGGGATTAACATCACGTCCCTGATCAAACCCCATAAAGAATATCTCTTAGTTTGATTTTATCGGAGATTCCTGGCCTCGGCCGCGTAAGTAACATCTCCCGGTCCAGGTTTAAGCCTACTGAGGATCCTCGTCCTCGTCCCCGGTCTCGGGCCCGTTTTAGTCTTTTGATAAAGGAAAAAAAAATCCAATACTCCAACGTCTCAATATCCAAACAGATAATTCAGTTATCATAGCCGTCCATTCTCATCCTCCTATGCCACGTCACCGATCTGTGTGACAACCCAAGCATCCAATAAAATTCCCATTCACCCCTCCTATATAAAGCACTTCCCGACACAGCCTTCACCAACACAATCGATTTCAAACTCCCCCCAAATTTCAAGCAACACTTTTGTTTTCGTTATCAATCTCTCCAAAAAAACCGATGGCACCAAAGGCCGAGAAGAAGCCGACGGAGGAAAAGAAAACTGTTTCCGAGAAAGCGCCGGCAGAGAAGAAGCCGAAGGCCGGGAAGAAACTGCCTAAGGAAGCCGCCGGAGATAAGAAGAAGAAGAGATCCAAGAAGAGCGTCGAGACCTACAAGATCTACATCTTCAAGGTGTTGAAACAGGTGCATCCGGATATCGGAATCTCGAGCAAGGCGATGGGAATCATGAACAGTTTCATTAACGATATCTTCGAGAAACTTGCACAAGAGAGTTCTAGGCTCGCGAGATACAACAAGAAGCCGACGATCACATCTAGGGAAATACAGACCGCGGTGAGGCTTGTTCTTCCTGGTGAATTGGCCAAGCACGCCGTGTCGGAAGGCACGAAGGCGGTGACGAAGTTTACCAGCTCTTGATTTGATTTTGTTGTTCATATGATTTGATGTGTTCATGAAACAATCCAGCGTTAGGGTTTTGCAACTTTTGATAATCAGGTATTAGCAATTCTACGACTTCTAGTTTTTGTTTTTAGGGATATCGACTCTGTAAATTTGGATTTACTTGATCCAATTTGTCCGGTGCAAAACATATGAAATTCATTTCTGTTCTACTACTTCGATTTCTTCTCCATTCTTGTTTTCATCGTTCTGTTCATCTGATCTGCTGGTTCGATTGTTTGATGAAATAGGAAATTAGGAATTACATTTTTTATAATTGAATTTGGATTGTTTGAATTCTAAGGTGTTTCAACTCATGTTTGAAATTGAATTACGAATCGGATACAGTTTGTGGGTTCAAATTGGTTTTTTTCGAGCATCCTTGTTGACGTAGATTTTGCCCTAAAACATGTCCCACAACATTCTTCAAAATGAAGTTTTCTAACCATGTGTTATTCTCCAATGGATGTTTCAAAAATTCAAGACAAGAATGTAGGAAAGAAAATGATGGAAAAATTATTAGGAGAAATAATTTTTTTATTTATTTAAAAAATCTATAGAAATTAAATTGTTCAATAAAAAATAATATTTTATTACATATAAAAATATTTTAATAATGTTATTAAATATTGAATTTTGATTTTTGATAATCAAGAAGTTGTTAGAAATGCTTCCTTTAGGTGGAAATAACTACGTATATTTAATTTTATTATTCTAAAAACATTATTGTTTGATTTTAGGGAAAAAAAACGAAGACATAATTAAAACTAAGGCTGTGTAAAACCGAGACGAGCCTAAACTGAAAATAAGGTATTTATGCAGACCTGAATGTCTTTAAATTTGAAATTTGAATTCCGACTTTTCAAAGAATATTTTGGTTCGGGTTGAGTTTGATTTTTCACCATTTGATATGTCCGAAAACCTAAAACACATATTATAGTTAAATATTATATAATTATATTTACTTAGTCGGTCATACTTTTTTCTAATTTCTAAAACTACTAGTTGTGTACCCGCGCAATGCGGCGGGAGCCATGAATTTTAACGATTTTGAAGTTCCACTGGTTTTATAAGATAAGATCTAACGATGATATAGGTTATACTTGGTCTTTACATATTAATACAATTTGAATAAATAAGAGTTATGGTTCAAATTACAGACTATCGATGAAAAACATTGTATGACAGTTTAAAATCCAACATATTTAAACKACTCCATAAATGTATTCGATTTACACCAAGAGCAAAGAACCAATAAACTTGAGTTTTAAGATAAACACTTAAAACCAATAAAGAAAACTACAAATTTGACAGATCATAAGCCATGAAAAAAAAAAATGGGTTTTAGAATGAAATTTCAACTGCTTACCATTTTTCTTGTCTAGAAACTCAGATTAAGATTGAATTAATACATGTATATATATATTTCAAAAAAACCCAAGAAMATATTAATTCAAAACATATTATACAGTGCAATTTGGACAGCTTAACCCCAAAATATATAGTATATATATAAATAAATAACTATAAAAATATAAATCGTAAATATTAAGAATATTTTTTCAGAGTATATATGATATATAATAATATAATTAAGTCAAAAACTATTCAATATTGGACTTATTTCGAAAGTATTAACGAGACGATTATAATGGTGTAACTTATTAAAAATAAAAATGTATTTTTTAGACATGTTTTAATTGATATACGATTATGTATGTTAATTTGATAAATGTTTAAAATGAAACATTTAAAAGTAAATGATGTAAAGTAAATTAAATAATTAATTATAAGGGTATAAAGTGTAAATTTAAATTTATAATTTAAAAAAAATCGGTTGTGAGGTAAGGGGTGAGTGTATGTGAGGAGAGGAGGGGGTGAAAAAGTGAATATAAAGGGTATTTTGGGCATTTAGTATTTTAAGACTTTGAGACTTTTGCTAAATTTGCTTAATAAGATAGTATAGATTATCGATTACATAAATCATCTTAATAGATTGAATTCATCCTAACAATCAATTGAATATATATTTTGCATATAACTATACCCGAACTCGACCGATCCCCAACCCAAAATCTGACCTACTCGAACCTGAAGCAATCTGAAATCCGAAACCCAAAATTCGGGACTTGGTTTCTATATTGGAAATTTGATCGGATTTTTGGCTTGCCACTAGAACCTGTTCGCCCCGCCAAATAAAGAATACATAATATCCATTCAGGTCTAATTATCAGTTTGTTGAATATTTATATTTTATTATACAGAACATATAATAGTTGATCAGTGAAGAGCTTTAGAGAAAAAAAATCTTTAATTTGGGTTTTATATTCCTGTTCCTTACTTTTTATTTCCACAATATTTGTGTTTGTTGTTTTCCTTGTAAAACAAAAACATGAATTGCGTCAAAAACAGCGATTTCTTGATTAACAAATTTGCTTTTTAAAAAATGGACAATTTCTTTCAAACTTAACTTCAAGGCTTTATTTGGTTTATAGTACGAATTATAACAATATTTGAGATTTGTCATAGTTAGAAAATTCAAAATCATGTAGTTTTATATAAATATGACAAGTCAGGTTTAAAGATTTCAAAAAAATATATGACCCTTTAAAACTTGTCATACAAATTGGGGGTGCTCATGGGTTGGTTGATCGGGTTGAAGACATTTGAACAATCTAACTCAATATTTGCAATTTGAAAAATCTTAACCCGACCCTATTCAAACCAAAGTGCAACTCAATCCAACCCAAACCGTACGGCTTGGTCAGATTGATACTTTGGTAGATTATATATAATTTCTCTACTCATAATTTCTTTTTCATCATCAACCATTTGATACAACTTATCCCTATTTCTTACGTATATCATATTTAGTTAATTTTCTCAATTTACATATATATATATATATATATATATATATATAGGGGAGCGATCAAATGCAAACCATTCAATTTGTACAAACCGTGCAAACCGCATTCAACCAATCATAATTTTTCATTTTGTTCATTTTTTTGTAATTATGAGAGGTTGATCGATCATTTTTATTGTGGAGGGTGTTAATCATAGATATTATCATCTTCATTATTTTAATTTTAGAGAAATACATGAAATAGTTTCATTAATATTAGAGAAATATATGAAACAGTTTCATTAAGTATTATATGAAACAATTTCACAACCATATATGAAACAACTTCATCAAAAAAAGTATTATAAGAAACAATTTCACAAGATTAAACAATTTCATGAAAAAATTTCATAAGATTAAACAATGAAATCGACAGATGAAGGTGGTTTGCACGGTTTACACAAATGAAGGTGGTTTTCATATGATCACTCCTCTATATATAGATATATATATATATATATATATATATATATATATATATATATTCACAGTTATTGAACATATATACGAATGAGTTATATAGAGATGTGAATAGATTAAAAATATGTCTATATAAAGAGCTAATGTAATTGCCTAATGTATATATTAATAGAAATTCAACAATTATATTAAATCTAAGAAAAATAAAAGGATATCAGGTTCATCGGGTTGAGTTGGGTTCAAATAATATCAACTCAATACCTACGTTTTGAAAATTTTACAACTCGATTAGAAATCAAGTTGTTTCGGGTTGAGTTATTTCGCGTTGGATGAGGTTGGATTGACCGGGTTTTTGAGCACCCTAATACAAATTATATCATTGATTTATCACTTTTCATATAGGTTAAATATATGTAATTGACCATGCAGCCAAACTAGGAGTCATTTACCAAATGTTTACCACGTAAGTGATTACTAGGCATTATTTAGGGACGAATCCAATATCACAAAATATTTCTATAAATTTACTTTTATAGTCAAAGTATGCCATCCTCTGGTGTCACTTACCTTATTGAAAAAGTATGACAATGACCGAAAATCTTACTCAATAAGAAGAATAGCAAGGGCCAACAATCTTACTTGGTAAGTGAATGATAAAACTTTTACTCGGCTAGAGCTTACCGAATAAAAGATGCTTAACGACAATTTATTTGCACGACTGACAAAATTACCAATAAGTTTAATGTCAACAAATCATTATTGGATTCAGATCTTCTATAGAAGTTACCTATCTTCAATGGAAAACAATGTTTATACATATACACACACACATACATAGAGAATATGTGAAACCTCATATTTACTCTTCAAGAGAATCGTTGAGAAGAGAAAGAAGGTTCCAACATATATAGAGAAAAATTGGTCAGTCTAGCCGATGTGAGACTTTTTTTTGTCCATAAATAAAAACTTAACAAACGGAAATTAACTTTGAAAACTCAACACCCCTAACAAAGCTATCAGAAACAACCACTTATCTGAATTCCTGCTATTGGTTTGCCCTCTCCTACATCTTCGCTCTGGGTGATCACATCCCAGTTCCACAGAGCCCATATGGGTATCATTCAGACTCATGACTGCATTACTGTCTAAACAGTTGATGGGTTCTATCTATAAACCATCGTGCAATGGGCAAACTCCCATACAAGTCAGCATACAGTGTCGGATTCATCCGACCGTCATCCCAGGAACTAACTGCCAACTAATCCTCTTGAGTTGCATACCTTGAGCATTTAACCTTGCGGGGGCACTTTTCAGAAATACCTTGCACAATTTGCTACTATATCCGGTCCCAGTCAACTACAACTTATACGACCACAACCTTGCAAAGTTGTACTATGTCATTACATATGGATGTGTTAGGGGATGTTTGATTGGTTTTTCATTAAGTCTTGCATATATAAAGTTCTGTATGGATTAATCTATTTGTATAGATTAAGAAGGTTAGTGATTTGGGGCTGGGACCAAATGGCACTTTATGAGATTCAAATACATCATCGATGGCACCAATGTAGGAGCCAAACACACTAGAAAAATCCAAATGACCTGTAAGAAAAGCCATGGGCTGAAGAAAACTCCACTCAAATATAAAGCAATTGAGATGCTTATGAAATATGATCCTGTATATTCCAGCCCTGCAATGGAGTTGCTGAACAAAATTAGAGGGTGTTTGGCTGTTTGCCAACACATATTGGGTAAGCACTAGGTAAACACGGAGACAGACCTAGAATTTTTTTCAAGTGGTGACACCATTTAACTATTAGAAACAAAGATGTGGATATTTTTCATGAAATAATCATTAGTCTATTGGTTGGCTCTTTGTTTTTCATATGTGAAGTTTTGTGTTCAAGTCTATTATTGCAGAAATTTTAGGAACATGATAAATTTGAAATTAAAGCTAAAAACCAAGGAAAATGACACAAGCGGGATTCGAACCCGGGCCTAGGGTGGGAGAAAGGCCATGCAAACCAACTCTACCAATGGAAACTTGTGTCGACGTTGTAGTTTCAAAATATATAGGGTTGCACAAAGAAAAATGTTACCATAGCACCTTTCACGATCCTATATTTTTTCACTATAACGAAGGAAAGAAGTGTTAGCCCGTGCCACCGTATCTATTACGTGGGTCCGCCCTGGGTAAACAAACCCATAAAGTAATGTTTGGTAAGTAGACGGGGCATGACTTCAAAATAGAAGTTGTCTGTCTGGTATTTGGCACGACTAGAACTGGATCACAAGACTAGGCCGGACAAGTTTCCCCTAAATGTTGTTTAATGATTTTACATGGTGGTTATCAATGGAGGTGGTAATTGTGGCGCAGGTGAGGTGGTCGGCGGAGGTGGCTGGTTGTCATGAAGGACGTGGAGATGGTGGTGGCAGCCGGCACTTGGTGGTTCAGGATGGAGAGTAGTCGTGGTAGCCGATGGTTGAGGGGACGCCGGTAGTGGAGATGATAATAATGGACAGTGGTGGTCGGTGATTGACGGTGGATGTGTATTACGTGCAGATAGTGGTTGGTGGTGCGGCCAACAGGTGCTGGATATGGAGGTGGAACTTGGAAGTAGCGGTTGTGTAAGAGGTGGTGGGTGGTGGTTATGGAGGAGGTGGTGGGCGGTGGTAACCACAATAGTTGATAGCGACCATTTGAGACTATCCAGTCCCACCCAGTCCCCGTCTCATGTTGCATCAAAGGTGGAACAGAGTTTTTGTCCTGTTTCATGTAACAGTGAGTTTTATCCAATCCCGTTGAGTCTCAAATGTGATATGTTGATTGGTAGATATAAAAAGGAGATGTGCTTACACGTAAAAAAAAGACTTCAAAGGATTGGAGAGATTGGGCGAACTCCTTGCATCAAGAGAGTGGCCATCTCCTTCAAATGAGAATATGAGAGACATCAACTCGGATCCAATCGAATTGACGAACACAATGGTGGCAAGAGACTGCTGCGTGGTGGACTCCCCGGTGTAAGCCCTACCCTTGAAGGTTCCACCTAGCAGACCTCCAATGCTGCTGCTGCTGCCACTTTACGGTCTTCTGCTCTCTCTGGATGTAATTACTACTCTCCCTCCATCCCAAAATAAATTGTCCAGATTCCTACTTTAGTATGTCCCACAATAAGTGTCCACTTTCAGAAGTAAATCCTAATTTCTAATTCTACCTTTAATTATGAGATGGAGAAATTCATTCCCTCTTCAATTAGGGATAAAATTGTCATTTAGCTAGTTAAAAATGTAATAATTACATATTTCTAAAATTGTGTTTTTTTCGCTGTAGACATTTATTTTGGGACATATGGAGTATTAAAATGATAATATCAAGGTGCCATTTCACCAACTAGATTCTCAATGAATTGAATGTAAGAACCTTTATCTCCAGGTAATCATGTTTTTCCTATGCATTGATCAAACTTGATTAGCAGGAGGTAGGGTTCTTACATTCAGTTCATGGGAAAATTTAGTTGGTTTAATGACACCTTGATATTATCATTTTAGTACTGCCTTATTCCGAAAATAAACGTCTACAATGAAAAAGCACTACTTTAGAAATATGTAACCATTACATTTTAAACTAACTACATGAGAATTAAATCTATCATAGAGGGAGCAATGAATCTCTCCATCTCATGATGACAAATTTGACCTACACAACTCACTTGTTTGACGAAGCCAACGAAGAAGATGAGTAGTTAAGAAATTTTGAATCTTGGTTCAAATAGTTTCCCAAGGCATGTCGGTGTCAATGGTCTTCCGCCTCCAACCCCTTTAAAACCACCACCACCACCTTTCTGTCCGCAGCCGTGCCAGTCACCCCCATCTCCAGCTCCATCCTCACAAATAGCTCTACACCCTACACAATCTCAACCAGCAGGAATACCTCAAAACCCCACATATGTACAAGCACTAACAACCAACCTCCAGGGACATAATAAAGGAGAATGACATCAATGCAAGAAGAAAACTTGGGAAAAGAAAGCAGGAAGAATTCAACCATTTGAACTATTTGAACAGCTTCGTGTTTGTCGACCATCACTGGAAGCAGCAAAAAGAATTGATGGGAAATGCAAGACCAAAAGTTTGTCGTCTCCATTGCAAAGAAGGAAATGAAGATCAATCATGGTAACCCACCACCGCAAGAGTACTTTCATCCAACTGCAACAAACATAGCCATACAGATTTTCAGCATCTACAAAGAGAGGATTACAAGCTTCAATGAACCAATAGGCACTCGTCGATTCTAAGGGAAGGGTTCTAGAACGGTTAAAAAGGTGTAACATAGGTGTCTAGAAGATAACTCAATGGAGCCATTATGGGTGATAGTTGAATGTCAAAGAAAGAATGGTAGTTCATTCAGGTATCTGTTGCGAGTGACATCCCAATAAATGATCAGTACTTCATGTGAGTTTTATTATAGAAATCACAAGGATTAGGAAACAAATCCAGGTGAGATGAGCAAAGGAAGTTAGCTGAGCTATTGACAATCTTTTATCAAAACTTTGTCTTTTGGGTTCCTAGGTAAAACGGATTTTTCACAGTAGCCAAAGCTGTTGATTTGCTGCAGGTGAAATGCTCATATCACCACAGTCACAGATGAAGCATATGTCAATATCAAGGTTCCAAGTTCCAACCAAAACCCAATATTTCTTTGACTAGCAGCGGAAGGTAGGAAACAGTAATCCAACTTCTCCTTCACTGTGAAGGGTCCTTTTCAGTGTGGTCAGTTTTCGTTAATGGTCGAATATCACTTGGCTCATTCAGGATTATGCCCATCCATTTGTTGTAGTATCCTACCCTTTTTGTGGCTTGGATTAGATATCCTCACAAATGGTGTGATTTCGACTTAGTTAGATCTTTCCTCATACCATTAGGCATTAGTCATCTATTTGAAGCGCCACGACTGATGCTTGCACAAGATATATATCTATTGATGATAAAGTTACAATAAAAAGATAGATGTGAAAAAAATGATCAAATGAGATGTTGCCAATGTTTCTATATACAAGCACACACACTTCACTGTTTAAAGATTGATAAATCATAGGAAAGCTTTGGAACATATAAGGTGAGAGTAGCCTACCTTGAGGTCCCTCTGTTTAAGGCCGTTTTTTAGATATTTCAATACTATGGTAAATAAGATGTAACAAAAGGTTCATTTGGCACAACGAACACTTACAATTATTCCAAGTGTTTTTATCAGCTCTTGTGTCCCTCAAACAATCATCCATTGGATTTGAAGTTTAATGGCTGATCATCACTTCATATATTATTCCCTGTCAAGTTTCCTAATAATAATGCTCTGTTCAGTTATCTGATTCCTCCTGATCATTTATCTATTTTGCAGAAACCAACACATGCATGTTCATCAAGATAATGACCTCGACAAAATAAAAGAAGAATTTGATTCAGCAAATCAGACCTGGCATTCTGGGGCTCGTTTTTTGTTTGCATATTGGATCCGAATATTTCTACCATCCAACAACTGAAAAGAAGCATTAGCAACAGAATCAATATGAATAATCTTCTGATTATAAAAACTAGCACCCAACATTTAAAGAAAAGGTATTGTATATCATTCCATTATTACCTGATCGTCCATTTCTGCCAAGGCTTTGCTGGCAGAGTCCTCAGAAACGAAATGTACAAATCCATACCCTTTTGATTTGCCACTCTTGTGATCACATATAACTTTAACTGCAAAAGTTTATGGCATGCTCTTTCCTTTGGGTTAACTTATTATTAGAAGGCTACAGAAGCCAAAGAGATAAACAAAACATTGGTTGGTATACACTACAGCCTGTGGTCATGTACCTTCAATTATTTCTCCATGCTGCCCAAAAGCGTCTTTTAACACCGGTTCATTGGTATCATAGGAAAGCCCTGTGCCCATACATATTTTACCCTGAATAGATGATCCAACGATACTATAAGAAATGACTACGAGCTAGACCATAGTCTAGCGTGTTGATGTTGTAGCAGATGATTAATTAGTAAAGGAATTTAATCACTTCAAAGGTTCTTTTACCAAAACGAGGCCCACAAACTATACTCATGGAATTCTTTTATCACTAGATTGGTGTACATATTCTTCAAGGAGAATAGATTATCATAGGCAAGAATCAATAACTGGATTTAAAACTCACCCATTTTCAACTATCCCAAGGACCAAAAGGCTTTTTGAGAGCCTTTGATGCAATCCCCCACCTCTTTCAGATAGACGGATCCCAGATTAATTCACATTTGACAAGCTTGAAACAGTAAGTCTTATAGAACAAAGCATAACAATGGTATTCGGCCCAGCAGTATCGAGGTTACTGATAAGATCCCAATCTTCCTCGAGATCAAGGGTGAGGATGAAGAGTGCGTGTGCGAATTCACCCTATATTATATATAATCCATATAAAAGAAGAACAAAACATAAACGTTTTCATTTTCATTTTAAGTCAAATGTGAAAAGGCCTTAAATATTATAAATGCACATATATAATTCTCTTGTATACATATCCCAAAATGCAGTGTAAAAAATCAACATTCATCTTCCAACCGCTCTAAGCCACACATCCACCTATCTTCAGTTTTACAGAAATATACTAGAAATAACTACATATGAATATTATATGCAAAAAAGTAGTTAACACAAAATTCCCCATACTTGAAATCAGGATGATTTTGTAAAACCATCCAGGGTTAAGAACAGTCGACTGGCAGATAATAAAAACCGTGGAGATGAACAAAATTCACGAAAAAAAGAAAAAGAAATTAAGAACAAATTCTAGAATTACAAATAACACCGGAACTGATCGTGATTCAACCACCCTTTACAGATGCGAACAAATATGGACAAACATAGAGAAAGAGGGAAGAGATACCTCCGACGAACAATTTGCTGGAGGAGTGACGCCACGACATCCACCTGAATAAAGAAGATGAAGATATCCGGTAAACGCCATTCGCTGACACCATTATTTGCTGGTTCTCTATAGTGACAACAATGAACGTATCTTGAGTGATTTGGATCTACTGGTTCAACAAGTGAACAAGCAAGAAGACCAAAGTGGGAGTTTAGGGTTGCTTGGTACATGTTAAATAATTAGGTTTTAATGGTGAGAATGATTAACATGTATGATGTAACACCCTAGTTTTTCTTATTTGCTAAATCTCAATGTTTAAGCCTTAAATATAAGATTTTGTAAGTAAATCAAGTACTCTTAAAATAGTCCAATAGCTATAGCATTTATTAAACTATTATATTTATAAGACAAGTAGCTTACAAAGCTACTTATAAACAAACAACATGAGCCACAAAAAACTTATGACAATGCAAGCCTACTCTATATGAGAATGCAAGCAAGTTATGAGTTGTCAAGACTAGAAGCATGGCAAAATTCATGATGACAAGCAAGAGCTAGAAACATGACAAAATAAAAGCTAGAAACATGAGGTGTCAAGATTCTCTTATCCTAAAAAATGAGGTGTTAAACTATCATAAGAGTACAATTTTGGGAGCAAAAATAACAAGTAGCTAATGCACTGAATTTACGTATAAATAGTGATTGAAGTGTTACCATTAGTTCCATACCAAAAATAAGAAATCTCTATCTTTATACCTAATCAAGCTTAAAGATATAATATTAAGGGAAAAACTAGGCATAATCAAGGTGAATACATTATGAGATTTACTGGGATACATACATGGTGTATATATATATATATAAATGTTTTATGCATGAAAGAGTATTGCCATATCTACTTGTAAAAGTTATGTTATGATTATGTGTCAAAGTACACCTTTTATGTGATGATGCACATGTGGTATATGAAAATTTTTATACATGTTAAGTATAACCATTTAAATATCCAACGTACGGGATATAGAAAGAAGGTACGTCCTGCAAACGGGCCTTATTGGGCAGCCTTTATGTGGACCAGAGGTTAAAGAACTTGTGAGAAGTTGGTTTACTTAACATGTAACCATGAGATCTCAAAGAAATGTTTTTATACATGAAAGTTTATAAGAATTATTTTAACTATTTGGAAAGAATATTTTATCATGAAACCATAACTACCCACTAAGCTTTTAGCTTACGTATTCATGTATGTATCTCAGGAATCAAGGAGTAGGAACAAGCTGAAGTATTGTTATTCTAAGATGTTAGAACATTATAATTTATAAGTTATAAATTTCCGCTGATGTAATAATTCTATTATAATGAAATAAAAGTTTAAGATACGAAGTTTCTTTCATTCACTTGTACTAACGGAAAAGGACGATACCCCGGGGAACAGGATGTTACATATGACTTGGTGCATAATGAAAAATGGCTAATTGAAAAGTGTTTTAAAACGATAACCTGATAGATAAAAAATTAAGATTTTAACCCTTACTATGATGATTTAGTGTTCAGTGAAATAAGATTGTTTGATAAGTATTCTGAATTAATATATTATTAGTATGGGAACCGTGCGTTGCGCGGTAGCATAAGTACTTTGATTAATGATCTAGATATTGTCTATATAAATATATATTAGTTGTTAATAAAATCATCAACAAATAGTATTCAAATAATTCGAAAAGTTAAATAAAATATAAATATATATATATATATATATGTATATATATACCCACTGAAGCAAACTCCATGAATCGACACAAATGCACCAATCCATATTCCACCTCATCATCGCAAGATTTTAAATTTTATAATCCTCGTAGTGTCACCTCATCACCCCAAGGTTTTATATATATATATATATATAATAGTATAATAAATTTTGCACTATATTTTCTACCATTTGGTTTGATTGGTTTCCAACCATGGTTATAAATTTCAAATAAGGTCATCCAAAGAAAGATAACCCTAGGAGGCATTTGGTTTGATTGGTTTCTAACCATGGTTATAAATTTCAAATAAGGTCATCCAAAGAAAGACAATCCTATGAGGCAAACCCCATATTTGACATGTGATCAGAGGGACAGAGAGAAGAAGTATTCTTATTTACTGAAATAATTAATTACAAAGGAGAGGCGTGTATATATATAGACACAAATAAGAAACCCAAACCCAAATAAGCAAAGGCCCGTACGGCCCATCAGAAACCCTAAACAGACATAATATTTACAATATATTCTAACA